AGGATCCATGGCTAAGCCACCGCGGCCTGAGAATAACCAGATGTGCCCGTTGGCGGATACGCTGGGTGTGCCAACCCTCGGAGATGGCGCGTCCGCAACAGCTAGTGTGTTTACTTTGTCTATAAGTCAGATGTGAGAATGGGCGTTCTGAAATAGGTATAACGGTCGAGATATGAAAGGACAACCCGCACCATGAGACTCGGTGGCCAAATCAACCACGTCACACTGATTATCGACCGGCTGTCTGGGAAGCAGTTCTCCCCCAAAAATATAGGCCTGGGAGCCAAGTACAGACAGAGCATGGGATGAGCGACAAAGCCGGGAGGAGTTTGCGATTTGTGTCCAGGAGCCAGAAGGGGAAGACATCTTGAATGAGAACTGACAGTGAAGCGTCAATGTATTTTTAAGGGTTCACAGAGGCAAGGAAGAAGATGTCGAGGAGTCTCGAGAGGTATTTATATACTAAAAACCTTAAAATAACGCGCGACACGGAATCGAGCACCACTGTGCCCATTTTGTGCCATGACACTGGCCGTTGGAGATGATCATGTCAAGAGGCGTCAAGCTGGTGCAGTCGTGGTGTATGCTCATTGGCTGACGGGTTATCATCCTTGCATCAAGACGGGTATTAGCGTGAGTTAGATAATCGGACTGGTTTTCCAGTCCGATTAGTCAGGTGAGTCTGAGTCTTGGGGTTATATAATATAATGGTGAGTCGAGCAGCTGGACCTCGCAGTCGTAGCAAAATCTATGAATGACATGATTAGAAAGGTTGACGATTACAGAGCATGTCTCCATGGGATTAATGTATCATGCGATGTACTCGGCCTAAGAGAAAGCCTAAAAGGAACAGTTATCCATTTCATTAGCCAACCCGGGGGCTTCGACGTTGTGAGATGTTTGTTGTACGTGCTATTCTTGTGCCTGTTCACTTGAACACATGGTCTGTTAATGCGCTAAAAATTCATGCTATCGAGCATCCAAGCTGTCTATGCTTTTAAGTGCCGTATATACAAGTCATGTCAACGAAAAATACAAGGGATACTATAGTAATCTGTGCAACGAGAGCGCGTTCGTTTTGTGATTACATGTAGTCGTGGAGCCACATGCGTCCTGATTCATCTTCATGCCACCTCGCAGAGGGCAAGTTCCAAGTTGCCCCTTTTCATTCAAGTGCTCCTCTCACCCCGGCATATACACACCAAAACCTAGCTCACCATTACATGGTAACCCCTTCCCTTTCCTCGCCTCTCATACCGCAGCTTGGCCTTGTCCCCCATCATGGCAGCGACTTGCTTACCCGACGCGACCGGCGCGGCACTCCCCAGCCCGTCCAGGGATTCTCTCAGCAACGCGGCCATGGCAAGATGACTGTGGCCCCTCAGCTGCACCGTATTGGCGATAACCACAGCCGCAACAGAGAAGAAGAGCTGCAGGCCGACGGTCAGCCCCAAAATCAGATACAGCGTCGTCCAGCTCGCGATCTCAAGCGTAATGCCTCTCATGGGGGTCATGCCGCGCACCTCCACGTCGTCGTTGGCCCCTGCAACGGCAACAACGGTCCCAATGGCAAACAAAGACGCCGTGGCGCCCCTCATGTTGGCGGTCCCGTTGTAGGGGTAGCCGAATATGGATTGGGACGGGTAGCTCTGCCACTGGGTGAACTTGGTGTTGTTGGTCAGGTCCCCGGCCGAGGAGCCGTAGCCTTGGAGAGCAATGGCGGCGGCGGCGTAGCGCGTGACATTGCCGCTGACCTCGTGCTCCTTGATGACGGCGTTGGTGACGGATCCAATGGTGGTGTTGCACCTGTAGAACCACGGCTCTTTGATGGAGGCTTCAAAGGCGTAGATGACGGCCCACGTGTCCCCCGCGTCGAGTTCCGGGTCGTGAATGTACATGACTTGATCGGGGCCCTTGGCAGACGGAAGTTCCCAGGAAATCGGTTCATTGTCTTCCCACAAGAAGGTAATGTTGGGGCTTAAGCCGTCGCCGCCGGCAACGACCTTGTACTCTTTGCAGTCGGACCATGCGGAGATGGTCCGATTCGTCGCCACGCTGGCCACGTAGTCTGCGTCTTGGGGGGACGACTCGTAGAAATAGTACGTGTAGACGACGGGGAGGCCGTCGGTGATGTTGGAAAAAAAGATTGGGTCCCGCGCATCATTGAACTTTCCTGGTTTCGGCGCCTCGTCTATCGAGTTCCATAGCATGGTCAATGTAGATTGACCAAAAGTGTTGGCCATATATCGTCTTGCATTCTCGTCCTGGGAGACATCTAGATCGGGCCTCCGAGTACCGCTAATAAGACTCTTGTCCAGCTGGATTGAGCTCATGTCGGGAATAGACACGAGGCCTGGCCGGGTGACGGTTATATGATCCGCGGGATTGATATTGTACGTAATTCCGAGTAGGGCGAGGGCCACTTGCGCAGCCATGTTGAGAGTCAGGAAGAGAAGCACAAACAGCCGGATGGACACGTGGCGGGACATGTATCCCAGCTTCAAGAGGCCGCTCATGTTTTCGCATTGGAGGATAAGATCGGCCTCTCGAGGGGAGTAGGGCCGCAGGCTGAGCAGCCACCAGCGCAGATAACTAGCATCTCTCTTGAGGGCGCTCGCAAGATTCAGACTGTAGGCAATGGACAATCCAATAACGAGTGAGTTGAACTCGCTCTTCTTGATTGCCGGCAGCGCAGCGGGTTGGGAATATTTCCATATTACCACAAAGATGGACATGGCTAGCACGGCTGTGAATAGCCACCGGCAGAAGGTCCAGAAGATCATGTGCCGCAGCTGCTTGCCGCGGTGAAAAGTCTCATAGGCATACTGTTGCGTTGATGAACCCGTCCGGCGTGATAATGAGGATAGGCGCCAGCGCGGCTGCTTTTCTGAAGCGTCGACATGGTCGGACTCGGTTCTGGTCGACGATGCAGGCGAGGCGGCGGCCATGATGACACATTATCACGGCTTCAGGAATAAAAGGAAACAAAGAGAAAAAACGACTCAACACGTCAAATGTCACCTTGCTTCCACACCAGAGCAAAGGGGAAACCCGTTACGAAAAATGCGCTCAAGCCTCCACCGTGATGTTTCCATTTGCAGATCAAGAACGGGCATCTAGACGGCCGATTGGCTGGCCCTACATGGAATAAGAATTTCGCCTAGCCCTATCAGGTTTAATGCGATTTCATGGCTCCATCCTAAATACGCCCGACGACTCGTGTAGCCGTAAGAATATGGTCTAGCGTGCCGGCAGTTGGAGAGCCGTTTGTTAACGCATTGAATCTTGGTGTGCATCACCTGATTGAAGATGTTGATATTATATGCACTCCTAATTAACATGATTAAATGAAAGTCTGTAACCAAAAAGAACGCCCTCTAGTTGGGCAATTACACCCCCTTTTTCCGTTGACAAAGTTATGAACAGAATCCCTGTCATATTCACCACGCCAGTCGCAATAGCGAGTACTCGCCGATTTCTCAAATCAAGCATCCATCCCATTTCTGTAATCTATGATTCCTCGATTAGTAGATGTTAATTCAGTGCCTTGATAGAAAATATAACTTGCTTTGGCGGACGTAATGAGTGATTGTCATCACTATGGAAATGAGCAGGTCCAAGATGGAGGCCAAGAGTGCCAAGAGTGTAAGGGCATCAGCGCGCGTCCAGGGATCCATGTTGGTGGAAAAGAGCCGGGGAGTGTAGAGCAATCGGTTTAGCTTTTCAACAATAGATGTAGACAAGTGTTACTTGGTATATTGGATTAAAGCGTGTCAATGATCCTGCGAAGATGTATTGTGTCAGAGATTTTAAAGAAAAAATGCGGATGTCTGCGGATGTCTGCGGACGCAGAGAACTATATACTCGTAGACGTTCAATATATCTGCTTTATACTCTCATGCCGCACGAGAAAATGAGTATGCCCACCCAGCGTGGCTATAAACACCCATGTGTGAACAACACCCAAGATTATTCACAGCATCATTCCACCCTACCTCTTCTCCGGCCGAGTTGGGCATCGAGATGGTGCCAAAAGGTATATACTATCGTATTAGTGTTTTCCGGGTTCCCAGGTTGCGATGCATACAAGGTGTGGACATGTATCGGGACAAGATACTGTTGTACCCAGACATTAGTTTATTGTGTTCCTCGAAAACTTTGTGGTATTTTTATATTAGTTTTCTGAAAAACACCAAAACAATCCCGAAAGGCGGACTTCCATACGTGGTAGGTCAAAATTTCATGGCTTAGGGTGTGAAAAAAAGGTGGACGCAGAGCGTCTTACACGACCGAGCAGCCAAAGAGGCTAGGGTGTGAAGATTGATGACATTGAGAGCTTCAGGCAATTTCTCGTTGAATCAGGGACATATTTCATCTCCTGATCACTTGTTAACATTCTTGCCTAGAGTCCACTGTATTCTTTCATCATCACCACCCGATGCCATCATATACACCCTTGGGCCCTGACTCACTTACACCTTGTTTTCCCAGGGTGTGTAAATGAGGGTGATTACGTGGGGTTCCAAAACCCAGTTCCTATGATCTGGCGACGCCGGTCCAGACTTGATCCTTTGTTACTCGCACAGATAATCAAGGTACCTCAAGGGCGCATCAAGCTATCGCCCCCAAGAACAATCCGTGACAGGAACACGTGACAGAGTTGACGTATGATTTGGTCAATACCGCTTTCTAGATAGTCAGAATGAACAAGAATCATGACACGGTTGAACTTGGTAGTTGCATTTTGTGTTTACTCTATAACTGACAAATTCGACCTCTTACAAGCTGAACTGACAACCGTTACGCAAATCCCGTCAAACTGCACCAAAGAATTCCAGCATGGCACACTTGTGCTCGAAGTTGCGGGAGAGTGACTTGACAAGCAACCAGGTGCCGGGTGAGATGACAACGGAACCAAACGATTAACGAGACTCTAGGCTAGTACTAGAAATGTAATCCATCGTAGGCAGCTGAATGAGCTACAACATCCGCACCATTGCTCAGAGTTGGGACGGAGCAGGAGCACCCGCGCGGACCCTCATGAGGGTCCGCGTGAGGGCGATGCCACTTTCTTCAAAGCGGTGTCGTACTCGAAGGTGCTGGAGCAGATGATCACGCCTATGGAAACCCTTCTCACCAGCATGCTTGTCGCAGAAGAGGCATGAATGCCTGGCCTTGGCCTTGCTTGTTTCAGGCCCAGCTGCTTTGGAGTTGAGGTGGCGCTTGAGAGCATCAAGCCTGGTGAAGCTACTGTTGCAATGGCAAGCGTAAGGATCATGACCTGCATTCCTTCCGTGACTCCAAAGATCGGTGTTGTTCCGAAATGCCATGTGGCATTTAACACAGACAAATGGCCCGAGGTGCTCAACCCGGCCATGTGCTTCCTGAATGGCAGGGGCTTCATTGGTTTCGATTACGGCATGGTCAACTCTGACCCCGACGGTATCGGAGGGGACGGCCATGCCGGAGCCATGGCCGTGCTGGCCGAGGAGGGTGTGGACCTGAACGTTCTGGTGCCCGAGCATCAATTGTGGCCTGAAAAGGCGGAGTCAGAAAAAAAAAACTCACATGCAGAGGAAAGGATACTCCCAGCCACTGTCGTTAGATTGGCCGTCATCAGGCCAGATCGGCTGTTGAGGATCCAATGACCCAGCAGGGATTGTGACATTGTCGATGAAAAAGCTGGGGTGTTCGAGGTAGCGGTTCATGATTGATACTTTTGGCGTCGAGTAAGCGAGTCGGGTGTGAGTGGTCGTGGGACTGCGAGAGGTGCGGATGGACTGTCATTGCGACGAGGGGGTTGGGGCAGCTTTATGTTCATTCAGCCAAAAGCTACCCACAGCCCCAGGAGTTGCTTGTACCTTGACCCATCTAGGTACATTATCAAAACTAGGGTGGGAAAAAAGAGGGTGGAATGGTGTAAGAGAAACTAGACGCCACATTAAAGCCCGCACTGGCACGCCGACGTTGGAGGTGGTAAATCTTTAAATGATGGGACCAGAATGTTGGAATAGGCGAGTCAATCAGGTGAGGATAAGATAAGGGCGATCTAGTACATGTATTTATAGTAAGGATTACCCCCAACCGTCAGGTTAAAGGGCAAGGTAAATACAACACAATAATATACAGTCTACATTTAAAACACAGAAATCATCTAGCATCGTCACTGTTTCTTTCTTTTCAATTCCCATCAATACTGGGCGCAAACAGAACCAGAATATCCTATCCCGTCTGTGAGACAAATTGTCTGGTCTGGTCAAGGTCCATCTTCAGCAGCAAGTTGATCCGCCCGTGCCGCGATCCACCCCCGCAAAATGATCTGCGAGGAATGTGGCCGCGTCTGCAAGTCCCAGAGTCATCTCAGGTGTGCATTCCATTGTCGTCTCTTCTCATCCTTGGCCAAACACTCTGGAACTCACATGTAAACAGCCAGCACAAACGTTGCCACGAAAAAAAATTTATTTGCAGAGAGCCACCGTGTCTTGGGAAAGCACATCGGATTGCTTTTGGTACCAGGAGAGACTTGATCCGACACCAAGAGCACGTGCATCGGAAAAAGAGAACACAATGCCCATATTGTTCCAGGAGCGTAGCACGGCAGGATAACCTCGCAATTCATATTTCAAAGGTACACGGGGACGAGTTATCTGTTGCCGCCGCGAGCGGGAATGAAGCCCACGTCAGGCTGCTGCTCGATAAGGGTGCCGATTTTGCGTCCAAAGATCGCATGCACCATCGGACTTTGTTATCTGTTGCCGCCGCGAATGGCTGTGAAGCTGTCGTTAGGATGCTGCTCGATAATGCAGCTGACATGGAGTCAAAGGATGCCATGGGTCGGACACCGTTATCGCTGGCTGCCGCGAATGGCCGTGAGTCTATTGTGAAACTTTTAGTCGAGAACGGAGCCGAAATCGAGTCCAGCGATTTCATGCGTCGGACACCATTATCGCTGGCTGCAGCGAATGGCCGTGAGTCTATTGTGAAACTGTTGGTCGAGAAGGGAGCCAACTTCGAGTCGGAGGATGACATGGGTCGGTCATCTCTAGTCTGGGCCGCCGAGAATGGTCACGACGCCGTCTTGAAGTTTCTACTCGATAACGGAGCCGGTGTTGAGTCACGGGGTGGCAAGTATAATCGGACACTATTATCTGTAGCTGCTGCGAATGGCCATAAGCCTGTTGTCAAGCTGCTACTCGATAAAGGAGCCGATATTGAGTCAACAAATAATTGGGGTCAGACACCGCTATGCTTGGCGACCATGATGGGTCATGAGCTTGTCGTCGAGCTGCTGCTCGATCGAGGAGCAAATATCGAGTCGGGGTCTGTTCGATATACATCTCACACACCGCTCTCACTGGCCGCCTCGACGGGCCATGACGCAATCGTCGGCTTGTTGATTAGTAGGGGGGCTTGCACCGACTCACCCGGCCCTGGCGGTTGGACAGCACTGCAATTGGCCGCCTGGCTTGGGCATGAGGCTGCTGTCAGGCTTCTTCTAGATGGTGGAGCCGATATTAATTGGTTTGGGGACTAAATCAGACACCGCTCACTATGGCTATCCAGAGTGGTCATGAAGCCGTGGTCAAACTACTGCTCCATAACGGAGCCGATACCAAGTTGGCTAGCCAGGGAAGATGTGTTGATGTCGACTTGGCCATTGATTCAAGCAGCTAGAGGGGAATTGGGCTACTAGATATAAAAGTTGGCTGTTGCTGTTCAAGACTTGGGCTTCCTTTTGACGAATTCTGCTGTTACTGCTAGCTACATCAAGCTTTTTGTTCCTACATCTGTAGCCAACACCCTGATCGTTGACACTTTTCTGCTATGTGTGATTCAAAGTGCTAGCGTGCCTTGGCTCTATTCTTCTTCCTTTGTCCCCGATACTACTATAACAGCGATTACTGTAAACATACAACGACTTGGCAATTGGAATAGCAACTGAATATCAATGTTCCCTCCACTATGGAATGCTAAAATTCACACAAGATGACAAGGGTACAGCATATAATAACCGCTTTTTGTTTTACTGCCCCGATATACGCAAGACGAGTACTGGAAAGGCCGAATGATGGAACAGTACCAAGTCTGAATAAAGCGACTTTCGATTCTCGTGAAGCCGCCGAGACTACCGAAGAACCTGGGAGCGAAATATTTCGGCCATTTTCCGTGGTGGTAGCTAAGTGCAACAACTCGACTTATCAGAAAAAGAATTTGAAACTGCGGTTGCAGAAAAAGATGCTTCAAATTCAGGCACACTAGAGTGTTACTGGAGTGTATTGCAATGTAATCGAGAAAAAAAGTAGTACAAAGTAGTAATTATTATTGTCCTAATCTTGATAATTCAGCTAGATATAACGTATACGCGGTGGAATAATAGCCGTATTCTATTAAATGTCTCTTCTTATGACCAGACTAGCGACATATCTCTTTTAGTTTTGTTATGCATTTGATAATTGACAAAAAGGCAAAGTTCCCCAAATCAGTCCTCAAGTTAGTCGTTTAAAACGAAACTAGAGTAGCAAAATATGGCATGTCAAAGCGAGCAAGCATGGATATTAAACCACATACTTGAACGAATATATCGATGGGCTGCTCGCTTTCAATGAGCCATTCCCTGGTCAACAATAAATGGAAGTTGGAGACCCATATTCCAACATGTACCAGCAACACCATATATTATACGCTGACGTAAGAGCAGAAAATTCTCTACGCTACACTTGATTTTTGTTTTAGATAAAAAATGCAGACATATACTGAGCATAATTTTACTTATTTCCTTCCCTATGTCACGGTTCTCTGATTTGGATATGACCAAGCACACAGTGTTCGTATAATTAGGCCCTACCTGATACAGTGCTGGCACGAATAGTAGGAAAGATCGAAGAATAAAAGATTAATAGCTTCATTTATTTCACGCTACAATATCAGGTCATTACCGCCACCTGAAGAGGCAAGCAGGACTACTTAGAGTACATAACCTAAAGCGGTTTAGCGTCAGCGGGTGGCTTAGGTAATCGGACAAAATGTTATCCGATTAGTCAGGTCAGATACACAGGGGCGTGCGGCGGCTGAGGCGATATGAAATACCATCACACGGAGTGGGCTGGCAATGACTTAAATGCTGGCATCCTCCTCAGCCCAACAAGACACACACAACTCCGGCGCAACCAAGTCGCTGACTGTACCTAACGTCACTAACACCGCCTCAATGCCCCTAGCACGAGCCTGTGACGTGTGTTTCAAAAGAAAAGTACGTCTGCCTTCCAGGGTTGAAACCCGTAGACTAAAATGAGCCCAGATCCAATGTATCACATCTCATGATGGCGGACCGTGTGACTGGTGCCGCCATCAGAATCTGGAGTGTAAATTTAGTAGAGGCAAGAAAGTGAACGGGCTGAACAGGTCGGTATCCGCCAATTTCCCAACAGGCCCCATGTGGCTACTAGACTAATTCGATTTCAGGACCAAATCATCAAAGAAAGTGACAGAGCTCCTCGCTCGCATTGACCAACTCGAAAAGGAACTTGCATGTGCCAAAGCTGACGCCTTTCGCTCAACCCTAAGTCTTCAACTTCCAGAGAGCAAGATATTTGCCAGCAACCAAGCAACGCTCCGCGTCGGCCAGAACTGGTATCATCGAGGAATGCCCATTGTTTCGGAAGATGGTGTTAAGTGGATCAAGTCGACTACTACGCAGGACACTACAAGATTTGAGAAGCATTTCCTAGGCTCTGCACACCTCTTCTCGTGTATCAGCTACCCAACCTGTCCTAGCAATGGTGAATCACGGGAATTACCCGATATAGGTTTGGCCTTTAGGGCTTTCAACGCGGATAGTAGTTCCTTCTTTCGCTTGGGAATAGGAATCCTTGATAAGTCGCTGTTTACAGAAACTATAGACCTGGCGTACGCGGCTTTCAATCCGAATGCTTCGCAAGGGCATCTAGCAGCTAGGGCAAGCTTGTTGGCGGCTTTTACCGTTGCGTCGTACTTGAAGACCAGCGAAGAAGTCGCTTCTATCGATGCCCAGGCCATTACATCGAGGGCTCAAGATCTGCTAGGTCGTATTGACGGGTTTGCCAACTTGGACGCTTTGCAGGCTATTTTATTACTGGTAATATGGCCCTTTTTGAACCAAACCACTAAAACAGGAGTGGTAACATGAATGAATTGTCTTTAGTACAAGTATCGAATAGCCACTGGACAATACGATGCCGCAGGGGCACTACTTCCTACAGCCTGCCGAATGGTTTGCAGACTCGATGGCCATATGACGCATCCTACACCTAGCAAAGCGGCTCCCGATATGCGGAGAGAGCACATTCGAAACCTTTTCTGGACTTGCTATATTGCCGATAAGGACATGAGCCTTATAACTGAGCAGCCACCTCTCCTTGCAGACGAGTACATGGACTTGGGTGATGCTGAATGCAGTAGTCCCGCCCAGGAACTCGATGAAGTAATCGACAGTTCCGTTGCTTGTAAACTCCTTCCTTTCGCCACCGGAGACCGCAGACTTGGCCTTTTAAAGGCCAAAGTCTTTCGTGTACTTTACTCCCCCACCGCTCTACATATCGCCGACAGCGAACTTCTGACTCGTATCCGGCAGTTGGACGACGAACTTGAGAACTGGCGAGTGAATACCTGTCCCCTGCTCCGACCAAAACTGGGCATAGCCAGTAATAGTTCTGAATATGGATCAGCGCAAACATGCCTACGTGCAGCTCACTTGCAACTGGAGTACAATTACCTCCTGACAATGGTACACAGCGTCGTCCGGCGATTCGGCGTAGCACATGATCCAGATGCAGGCTTGCCAGAAGATATCCACCGGGTCATGCACTCGAGTATCGATCTGGCGTTGGGCGCAGCGCGAAACACGATCCATGCTATTAGTGAGCCGGTTTCGGTGCTCGAGGGCAAAACTTGGTGCGTGCGAAAACCCGCATATTTCAACATGGCCTACATATATGTCTAGCATTCTGACCATGACAGGTACACCGTGTTTCATCCTCTGATAGCGGCCATGTCGTTATTCGTCAACATCCTTATACACCCTACAAGCGACCAGGCGGTGACCGATGTGGAATGGCTGGCGTTAGCATCCAAGACTATTCATGGACTTGCAGTCTCATGCTCGGCTGAGGAAGTGAAATACTTGCAGCAGGCAGGTGACTTTGCGGCGGAGCTGCTGAAACTGGCCGAGGGTGCAATAGCAAGGCGTTCATAGGATCAAGTTGGCAAGTCAAGTACGAAATTACCATCACCGTGACTTTTTGAGCGCACACTCGCTACAAGCACAAGAGAGCTATCCATTTTCATTCTCATAGCGCTGAGAAGAAAGCTGATCACCAAGGATGCCATCAGAAGAAATTTAAGCCAACAAGTGCTGGAGATAAAGCGTATATAATGTGTTTAAGTTTAAAACCATAGCGCCCATGCGAAAATCACTGGTTATCAAGTAACAGCATCTTTCTCTTTGCAGCCTACAGGGCCATCTCGTCAGCGAATACACCTGATTCAGTTTATATATGACTTGCACATGTAGTACGAATTATCGCTCACAGCCACAGTAAGGTAAATACACAATTCTTCAACAGCTTCTGGCTCGCCACACCTAGCCCTGGAATAGAAGCAATAGTCCCCTATCGTCACTGGGGCCTAGGACGACGCGATGGGCACTAGGATCTTCGCCAAGTATGGCTGGCAGATGAGCAGACGGTGGTTGTACCGCAAGCTCTTTAAACGTCTCCTTGTCCACTCTCATCCCCGGAAGCGCACCGGGAAAGACGGGTTCGGGCAAGTCGCAGTATTCCACCAGATTCGGCATTGATCTTGAGGCCGGCATCGGTGCCGCTGCGGTAGCAGGAGCGCTTGCGGACCCTGTGCTCATGTTAGTAGGCTCATTCACATACATATGCCGAAGAGGCTCGGTCATACTCGTCTTGGTGTCTCCTTGGCCATTGCGCAAAGGCATGTCGGGGTCCTTTCTTGTAGTCGCCATGTTACCCGGCAATGTCCACGCCGTAATCTGCCGCAAGTAGTTCAATTCGGCCAAGACGGCGGCATTGTCACGAATAATTACGGACTCCTGACGGTGGAAATCGACTGAAGAGCGCAGGGACCATTCGATCCGACTATGAAGCGTCATCTTCATGCCACGATGTGCTTTGGGGCGGCACTTTTCGATGATGCGGCGTCCCTCGATGAGTCCCTTGTTCGCCAGGTCAATGACGGTGTTGATTCGCTCGATAATATGCCGAGGCGTGGTCTCGAGGAACTCGAGGTGTTGGTTGCGAAGGTCTATGAGGTGCTGGAGGTCCCGGTAGCAGGCCTGCAAAAGGTCCTCGCCACGGCGAATTTCGTTGGAAACGCGACCCTTGTCCACGGCTGAAGTGATGAGGTGTAGAATGCATCGAAGGCATCCCAGGGCTTTCATCTCTAGGGCTTGATTCCGAGTGATACACATGTAGCGGCATAACTATGGATGGATAAGGAAGTTGTGGCGAATTGCTTTTGAAACCCCCCCAAAGGAGATGAGACTCCAAGACAGAAAGTTCGCTTCAAGCGAGATGTGACCAAGCTGCTAGTTTCACGGAGTAGATGTCATCTAAGCGTGTGATCCCAGCATACCTTGTCTTTCTATTGTTTGGGTTAGCAGGGGTTATGGCGCCCGAGTTGCAGCCAGCTATCAGGGTTATCAAGAACATGGTGTTATGTGACGCGCCCCCGTGAGGAGACGCAAGCCATGTTCCAAGACCTAGTTGCCTCTGCTACTCTGCCCTCGTGTTACGCCCAGCCAGCAACTTGCTCCCTTAACTCGGCCGCGGGGGGTGGTGGCTGACTATACGCAGCCATTGTCATGGTACCTTTGCAGGCTGGGGGCTTGTGAACAACCACAAATACTCGGCAGTGCGCTTTATTGCCTTCAATGTTGTATTAGCACCCACCGAAGATATTGGAGGGTTCCATGTTTGATCTAGTACAGAGTAGTAGGGCACGCGACACTGTGGCAAATAGCTTCTCAGCCGTTGCGTCGTTTCCTGCATACGGAGCATCAAAACTTTATTTGGTGTTAGCCACACATACGCCGCAATGGAGTGCAGCGTGCAGCGTGTAGGCGCTCTGTATTTACTCTACACTGCTAAAGTATATGGCAGCGCGGTGGTTCACGGTATGCGGGCAGTCTACTCGATATCATGGTTCCATAAGACATGAGCAATAAACAGATAGCCAATTCGTTCATTACAACCAAGTTTGTCCCTTGCTTTCCGAACCCCGCCATGGAACCGACAATTAGACCCTGGGCTCATGGTAAACGGCGACTGGTTCAACCACTGTTCGAGGATGAGAATATGGCGGCCCGTCCTGGCCGCTTAGCTTGTCTAATCCTGCCTCAACCACCAAGCCATGAAGACCTTCCTTGGTCGAGGCTACATCCGTGACGAAGCCCCAGTCGCAGGGATGAGACAGGAGAACATAGCCGAGCCTTGTGCATTCCACAATCACGGCTTCTAGGTGGGCTCTCTGCTGTCGTGCTACACCCGCGTCTGTGTCTACAAAGACGCCGAGAAACTTATCAAGGGAGTTGGCCAGCTCCTGAGCCTGCAGAGGCACTGCCGCGTTGTCGATGGGCAACGGGGTGCGAAGGTTACGGCGCGGGTGCAAGAGGAATACCGTGAGGCCGCGCCATCTGCGAAGGGCCAACGACACGGCTGCATGGATGGAATCTGTTCGGCAGTGTAAGCATTTTGCCAAGTCTTCCGTCTGGCGTCCAACAATAGAAAAGCTTGCTCACCTTGAGCATCTGCACTGTGACCGAGTTCATCGGGAGGCATAGCTTGCAAAAATGAAGCCACTGGCTGTGGGAGCATAGATGGGAGGCTAGTTTCTGTGTGGAAGCCGATGCTGCTGAATATTGCTCGCGTAATAACGTGACGCAAGCCAGATTGTCGCGTTTTCGGATCTAGACATAGGGCTGTAATGTTTTTGGTATATGTATCTGGCGACGAGCTCTGGCCTTTGAAGCCGAGGCTTTTCAGGGTTGTGCTGAGATCGTGTGTGCTGGCATTGATGGGCCTGGAGTGGTAATAGTTTTCGACATGCTGATGAATGAGGCCCCCAAGCGACTGCATCTCCTGCGCTATTTCTCTGTCAGGTGTTGCCTCTGGGAGAAACTGTTTGAGTTGGATGTCGCTGGCGGCAGCGGGAGGAGTCGTTTCGGGGGAATACGCCTTTGATTCATGATGAGTAGCGACGGCATCTGCCTTGCGACTGTGTCTTCTTTTCTTGCGCCGTAGCAGAATGCATGCCACGAGAAGGCCGGCAACTAAACCAGCGACAGCACAGCCGATGGCAATCCCGGCGATGGCACCGGCAGAGAGAACCGACGGAGGTGAAGCCGGAGTACATGTAGGTGTTTGGGTCGAAGTTGTCGACGTACTTCCGGTCCCGGTGCCAGAAGGAGAAGTAGTATTGACTGGGGGCGGAATAGGAAACTGCGAATTCACCAATTTTGTGAATATTATGATGCTAATAGTTGTGATTCCCTTCCTAGTCAAAGTAGAAGCATCCGTTCTTGTGGACCAGGCCATAGCGAGACAACGGTGGCCACGCGAAAATAGTAAACGTTGTCTGTGTATAGAGTATAAGGAGACGTGAAGAGATGGGGGCTCAAAGACCATGAGTAGCCAGAGAGACAACCACTTCCGTTAAATAACGAGAATATATGCGTGTTAGGAAGGGGCACACGGAAAGGCTCATGGAATCGACGCGTCAGGTCAGTGTGGACTATGGCACGTAATGGTACCGTTTCCACACTCGAGCAAGCTCACTTGCCGAGAGAATTGTGCCTAATGTTGTCATTGTACAGTAACGTCTGGTGTTATCGTGTACAGACTTCAGCCAGTGGGCTTCTGGGGAGCGCCATGGGCGTTCCTGTGTGCTCAGCTACCATTCAGCTCCAAAGCATCAGCACAAGGCGACGGATTCGATTTGCACATGTGCCGCCACTTTGTTCTGGCATTCGGAACCCTGGCACCACAAAGGCATCAAAAGTGGAACGTGGCGCGAGAGGATAGATTCTCGGTCCAGTTCTCCGGCGCCATCAAATTCTCTACCGGTATATGCCCAAGTTCTAAGTTTAGACATGAGCTGTTGGGCCGGCAATGCGCCCAAGCCCGCCTCCGGCATCCGTCCGAGACCGTGATTTTGAATTGAATCATTTGACCATGATCATTCATGGCATAGGTACCTTGATGCTGGTGTAACATTGTGTAATGAATCAACAACCAGACATTGTCGTTTCTGTCGATTTGGGCACCACTTTCACAGGTAACAACACCACATGGACTTGATTCCTTTCTTCTTGGTTCCATGTTCACGACTAACTGCTTCTTAGGCGTAGCATGGAGAACGCCTCGCACGCCCATCCAAGTCATCAACGACTGGCCGGGCAGCGGTGACCGAGCGGAGCGCAAAGTCCCAACCGCCATTGTCTACAATGCCGACGGAACACTTTCGTCATGGGGTCACATGTGCGCCGACGACGACGACGACGACGAAGACGAGTCGTCGGGCAAGCTGCGGCGCGAATTCTTCAAAGTATTCATCGACGGCGCCAACTTTGCCCTCGCGCAAACTCTCCCCAGAGCTCCCAAGACCATCCAAGAGGCGCAAAAGGTTGCCACCGACTATCTTGTACAAGTGTATGCCCACGTCAAGGAGACAATCGAGAGGCAAACCGGCCGACGACAAGTGCCCGGCGGATGGTCAGACCAGGCGGTCGTCTTCCTCTTCAGCGTGCCCACGACGTGGACGCGCATGGAAACCATCAACCTGTTCAAGGGAATCATTCGCAGTGCAGGGTTTGGCGTAGAGGGCCCAAGGCACTCGGCACAGGTTGACCTGACCGAGGCCGAGGCCGCCGCCGTCGCGACCCTAAAGACGAGCGCCATCAGCTTCAAGACGGGCAGCCTCTTCCTCAGCGTCGACGCAGGAGGCGGCACCACTGATCTCTCCTTGATGCGAGTCAAATCCACGGACCCTCAGTGTCCGCAGATGACGCAGATGGCGGCCGTCAAGGGAATCGGTATCGGATCAACGCTTATAGACCGCGGGTTCATCCGCCTCGTCGATCAGAGGCTGAATGCCTGGCCGGGGGTGCGCGATCTGCTCCCCGCCAACTTTGCCGTCCGAATGTCGAGAAGCCATCACTTTCGAACCCTGAAGCACAAGTTTGGCGAGAGTGTGTACATGCAGCCCCTTTTCAGGATCCCAATGGATGGCGTGTCGCACAATTTCAACCACTCTGGTCTTGGCATCGAAAATGGGCGCTTGGTCTTCACCGTGTACGTATCCTTCCGCAGGAATCTAGTACTCAATGTCCATTATTCTTACAGGAGCTAGGCTAGAGATTCAGTCGCTCTTTGACGCGCAAATCAGGGGTGTCATGGGGCAAATTAGGGAGCAGCTCAACTGGTTCTCGGAGCACGGAAAGGTCGATCAGGTGGTATGTCCCTCGAAAATGTCCTCGGTGGGCAAAAGACATGAGACGATGAGACTAAGTACAAGACTGCCGCAGGAGTTTGTCATTCTTTCGGGAGGACTAGGCAGCTCAGCCTACGTCCGCCAGAGCATTGAGAAGCAGCTCGTCCGCTCTCCGCATCCCAACGCCATCCAGGCCGTTGTGGTGCCTTGTCAAGACCCTCAACTCGTCGTGGTTCGCGGCCTTCTCCTCGACCACCAGCAAAAGTCGGGAGAGAGACAACAATCCGTCCTCGCCACCAGGGTCGCGCGCGCGAGTTACGGCGTCGTCATCAGGCAACTGTACTCGCCTGCGCGGCACTACAATGAAGAGGTGGTCCCAGACGAGTTTGTCCCCAAGAGGCTGTGGGCATTGAACCAAATACAGTGGATGATACGAAAGGTTTGTCGGACCCTCTCTGCCAAAGTCAAAGTGCCACTGTGCTCAGGCCTTTCTTCTTCACTTCAGGGAGATGTAATCGATGTGAATAGTCCGCTGGCCAAGCAATTCGAATTCCACCTCGCCGACGGGGAGACCACCAGGTCGTGGGATACAGATATCGTCATTTCTCAAAACGAGGCCTCCTTTCTGCCAACTAGTATGAAACAAGGTAAAGACATGGATTGTCTTATTTTGCTGAATGTTACGACTAGTCGTGACCATGGCTAACAGCACTTGTTTTAGCCGGTGTGACAAGACTTTGTCGCGTAAATAGCAATCTTGAGGGCGTCGAGCAGCACCAGCTGATTCTCAAACAAAAACGCCGGACGTGTTTGAAGAGGGGCTATAAATTCTATATTTGTTTGTTTGAGATTCGAGTCATCGTGGCCCCGGCCGACTTGAGGTTTGAGCTTTGGTTTGGTGGGCAACGATTTTCAAGAAACCACAACCCTATTCAGGTTGAATGGGATACTATGGGTGCCCGTGTTGGCGCCAACTAGCAGAGGAATCATATTTCAAGAAGAGAGAAAATAAATCATCTCCCAAAGGCACGTCTTGAACATATCTGCTATATTTATTTTGCTTTTATTACTGCCGCTGCATCCCGAAAGCATATTTTTTTGAACGTGAACTCGCTGTCTGGAGTCATTTTCCGGCCATGTCCCTCTTCGAGTACCAACTTTATAGATAGAGAAAAGGGGGGGGGATGAGCTGCCAATACAACTCCAGGCACACTGAATGGCTCTGTAAACTTTGTTACCACATTATTCTTCTTTTATAGTACCTAGGTACATCCTATTTATGCGGTCATATTGTATCAGCACCGGTTCAGTCCACTAAGACATATGAAAATATTTACTGGACAGGTTCCAACTATTGGCGAGGGCGCCATTGAAACCAAAGGTTCAATATTCTAATGTACACAACCTCCTCCTAGAGGACATGAGCGGGAGGTAAGACCAGGTTCCTGTTTGCTCTGACTTTGGAAATTGGGATAGGATGGTCTAGATTTGTTCCTACGTTATAATCGGAATCACAACTGTTCATGAAATACTCCTCCTGCCCAAATAGGATCTATTATACAGATTAATCTCTGGTGATTATAGCAAAACGATCAACTCGACCACTTATTGCTCCAGAATCACCATCTCCAGGCACAACTTCTTCTTCTTGTCCTCCCAAGGCCGTACCTGCAACATACCGTCGCGGCAGTCTCCACGTCGCCCATTCGCACGTGCCGAAACACTCGGATTCTCAGCAACACCACAGGTCTCTCTTTACACTCCACTTTAAGAATGCAGTTGGGACCGATTAAAGAAGTGTAATCCAGAACTGGGGGAGGCTATAGTCTTTCCGTCAGCAGTGTTGAATAGTACACGGATAAATGAAAAGCCCACTTACAAACCAAGAATAGTAGACCAGACGGTAAGTACCCTTACGATATCAAATGAACCCTCCTTGCTTGCCCTAAAGTTGTCTTTTGTATAGACATACGACGTCACCATGGCGGGGACGGAAGCCACCCACAAAACACACAAAAGCCTGTCCACCTGAAGTTTTACTGCAGATCGGTAGATTGGCGAAGCTCGAATAGGCGGGTGTACACAATAAGCCGCGTTCCAAAGGCCCCCAAGAACAGACTACATGTGTTAGCTTTCCTCGATACTAAATGACAAGATGGGCATGGAGCTTACCACAATGAGGATGCTCTCTAGCAGAGGTTCTCCGTCCTTCTTCATGGCCACTGTCGCTATAGTGAGAATAAGCACAGTCGCGGCGCAAGCCGCAGATGCAATTCGTCCTGCCGCTTCACCGCCGAAGCGTTTTAGCATTCCGGAATTTTCGGAAGCCATTTCAAAATAGGTGTAGTGATGGCAAATGAATACAGGATCTTGTCAAATGGTAGTAATATATGACAACAACCGTCTTGTTGCGTAGATGAGCTGGCAAATTTGTGGGGAAAGTGCACCGTTTGTCGTGCGTGCAGAAGATGTCGGTAGCAGTGATGTTGGTCGGGAGGACCGAGGTTGCCAAAATGCGCCCGACTTAAGTAAATTCCCAGACGGCACACACGTCACCAAATCTTGCATGGCTATTCATCTACTCAAACGCATTTTCTTTCTTTTTTGCTCGTTTGTGGGTAGAAAAAGAGCTGTTTGTCAAGGTGCGTCACATTGGCATCCCGCTCGCAATCACAAAGCCTGGACGACTGCACAGAGACATTTTGACAAAAGGGCCAATGTGTGAAAGAGAATTCTCCATTGTCTCGGTCGTGCTTTGTATTCACCAGCATGGGCCGTGATCGCGTGACCAGACGCTTTCAGGGAACTCTTTGTTCAGGAGCCATGGCCACCTGGGTGTGTGAAGAAGCATCAAAAAGAAATGCCAGGCCCTGCGTTTGTTAGCTGGCATGACACAATCATGATGAAACCAGTCTTTGAGTAGCGGACAGTCTCTCCTTTTTGCCAACACACCGCTTGGGCTTGACATGTGATGAGCATGTACTCTGCATCTTTGAAGTGCTTCCGCAGCTGCCTTGTTCTTTGGTCATCCTTTTTGCAAAGAACCTTTACTCCTAAGAGGAGAATGGAATCCAAAAAAGCCGGCAGTCTCCGCGTGAGGTAATTAGCATCCATTCAAGTCAGGCGGCCAGTTGGAGAACCCTGCAGCCCATGACATCATTCAACGACTGCTCATTATTGTCCGCCAAGCTCCTGAACTGTCCTTTCATCCTGTTTATTTGCTGTGTGTGCCTGGCGATAATTGGGGGATGCATTTTGCTTCGGCTGTTTCTCGCGATCACGACCTGCGTTTTAATCCCTTTCATCCCGTATTTGTCAGTACATGTCACGCGCATTTACACAAGGGCTACGATCACGAGGCCTTGTGGAACGAGGCTCTTCCACTTGTCGTACAAGTAGACCTCTTCGGATCATCTAGTCCTTTAGAAACCAAGAACCTTTTATACTAAAAGACCTTTATTGGATGAGTTGAGCTATTCCTCCAGGCCCTTACTGAGCCCTTGTCACACGATATACCCCAGAACTTGTGTCTGCCATCCCAAGGCTAGAATGTTCTATCTCACATTAATATGGTGCCCAGACATTTTGCTGCGGACTACCTTGTTGTATATGATGGCTTCTGTGAGATATGAGCGATATTGCCGAACATTAACAAGGGCAATCATCGAACCATCAAGATATTCCAGCAAACAAGTCCTCTTCACCGCTATGCAACACCATATCGTAAAATACTCCATGCTTGTGAAATAGACTCCTGGGGGTGCCGTCTTCCAGCACTTTTCCTGAGCCCATCACCACCACTCGATCGTAGTCAGCAATCGTACGAAGTCTGTGGGCAATCGTGATGAGGCATCTACTGTGGCCGTCTTCTTCGTCTAGATCCTTTCGTAGGACCTCTTGGATTCCAGCATCCGTAACAAAGTCCATGCTGGATGTAGCTTCGTCAAGGAGCATTAGCCTCGATCGACGCACAAGGACGCGGCATAAAGAGAGGACTTGTCGCTGGCCGTGGGAGAAGTTGCCACCACCCGTGTTGACGAGAGTCGACAGCGCAAGGCGGCCTGTGAATTGTGCATCTGGAGACGAGCTAGTTACAGTTTCGCCCGTACTCGAGTCGACTTCATTTACCACGGCCGACGCGGCAGAGCAATCGGTCCCGCTGGAATGCTGCTGCATGGCTGCTATTGTTGCGCAGGCGTCGATGGCCCGTTGTAGCTTCTCCTGGGGAACCTCTCCGGACGGATCTAGATTCGACGCAATTGTGCCTTGGAAGATGAGCGCTTCTTGTGGGATAGTGGCGATGGCGTGGCGGAGTCTTTTCCGTGGGACGGCAGTGATGTCGACTCCGTCGTAGAGTATCTGCCCAGAGACAATGTATGTGAACCGGAGTAGGGATAAAACAAGCTACGTGGCAAGAATTTATGAGTCTCAACAGCGTGATTTGTTTTCTCGTGAACAAGATATGTACTTACTGTGCTTTTGCCGCTGCCAGTGCGGCCAACAATGGCCACCCGCTCACCTGCATTGAACACAAGATTGATATCCTTTAAAATATCAGGGCCATCGAGTGTGTATCGTACTGTTACGTTGCGAAACTCAACGCGACCGCTCCTCGGCCAGTCGGCAGGGATTGTACGCTCCAGTGCATCAGCATACACAACGTCAGTGTTTCCCTTTTGCTCAGCCTCTTTCCCGGATTCCTCAGGAGGAAGCTTGGCGTATTCCGAGACGCGGTGAAACTAGTCCGTTGTCAGTATGCTCCCACTACATGAAGCAATAGCGGGGTGATAATCGTACGCTCTGCATTTCCGTGTTGAGAAAGTTGATGCTAAACACCAACCGCAAGATGAGGGCGCTCATTGTTGACGCCGCCGTCAGGGAAAAGCCGACCAAACCAGCCGAAATCGCGCCCTGTTTAGAGAGTGCCAGCATCCCGGCAGACACTTGAACCACTGCTGCCAGAGTATTGATTCTAAACTTCATCCACTGGTCACACTCCCTCTGCGCACCCGCCGCCTTCGCAGACGTGTACAGCAATGTGTTCAGCCCGTCAGCAAACACACGCGGCATCTCGCTCCGAGCTCGTACGACGACGAGCCCGCTCAAACTCTCTGAAAACTGCGTAAAAATGGGCGACTGCGTAGAAGCCACCAGCTGCTTCACAATCAGATTCGTGCGATTGTACAACTCCCCCAGCGCCCCCCCCAGCACGGTAGCAACAAGCGCAGGGAGCATGAAGACGGGGAGGACGGTGCTAACGGCACCCGTCTGCATGATGAGCGACGTGAGCGTCATGAGGAAATGCATGAGCTCTGGCGGCAGCGACTGGTCCAGCGTGTCCATGTCGCCGGATAGTCTGTTGATGACGCGTCCGACCGGGTTGTCCTTGAACCAGGACAGCGACACGCTCAGAACACCCTTCACCAGCTCACCGTGTAGGCGCCTCGCGGCCACCCAGCCTCCGTACATGAAGGCCATGTAGGCTATCCCTGCCACGATGACGCTGCAAAAGTTGATGGCGACGTACATGCCGAGATAGTACGCGATGTTGATGGATCCCGTTTGAGCCGCGGCGTCGACCCAATGCGACATCCAAAGGGTGGTGCCAATTTCGGCACCGATTTGGAGGACAAGAGTGAGCGTAATAAGAGTGGCTAAGAGTGACTGCTATGGGACCGCCGAAATAGAGCATGTATTTGAGGACTGGACGCGTCAGTCGTTTGTGTCTGCTGCGCAGGAGACAATTCTGAATCTGATCCAGAGCCACTTACAAATCAGCCGACCAGAAAGCCCAGTGAGCCTCACCTCTTCATCTACTTCTGACTCTTGTGCCGCTTTGGAGCTCGATCGCTCTGTGAGAGGTTTAGCAATCGGCGTCGTGCTGCCACTGAGCCCGTTGCCATGGTCTTCGACATGTCCTTCCCTTTGCGCAATAGTCCTCGGTTGTCTCACGACGCCAATGTTCTGCTCCATTGCTGCTATTTTACCGCTCTCTAGTACGATGGCCAAGTCGGCTTGCTCTGGAATCCATGGCTGCTGTGTGACCAAAACCACCGTCCTTCCTTTCAGAAGGTCGGTGCAGAAGACCCTGTTCCATAAGCCAGATGCTGTTTTTGTGTCGATTGCCGAGAACACATCATCTAGTAGAAGCAGAGACGAGCTGGAGTACAAGGCTCGAGCTAATGCGACTCTTGCACGTTGACCACCTAGACAGGCCAGTTGTTAGCTCTACCGTAAGCTCTCGCATCATGGCAGCTTGTTGTTTGCAGTGCACGTTACCAGATAATGCTGAGCCATTCTCTCCAATGTCCGTCATATCCCCTTCAGGAAGCTCGTCCAGATCTAGTCGCAAACAGCAAGCATCAATGACAGTATCATATCGCTCAGCATTAAATGCACTGTTAAAGACGACATTATCACGTATAGACAGCGCTTGCAGCCAGGGCGTCTGCGAGGCAAAGGCCACATCGAGGGGGCGAGTAACGCTTCCGCCCTCCTTGATGGTCTCTCCCAGGATAGAGAGCAGCAACGTCGTCTTTCCACTCCCACTTGGTCCCGAGACGACATTCAGCCCACCCTGCACAAAGTCAATGCTGATATCCTGGAGGAGAAAGCCTGCACGTCTGTTGCGCCGAAACGTGGCGTTTTCCAGCTTCAGAGGTCCTTGGGGGTACGACTCTGGCGGCGTGGCCGCATCATAAAACTTATCCAGCCTCCCAAGAGAAATGGATATCTTGGGAACAAACACGGCCATGGCCGCCATCATGCTAAAGTTGTCCCGTATAATATCCAAGAGACGGATCGTCGTGAACGCCACGGACGCGGTGAGTGGAAGCTGCCTGACCCCAACATACAAGGAGTATATGACAATGATGGACAGGATGGGAATCAGGTATGCTGCTTCGCCCATGGCGGTATACAAGAGCGCCATGTTCCAGATGTGCTTTTGCTCCCGTGCCCTGCTCTCCTGGAGATACTTGGCAATTGCGTCTTCCCAGCCAAAGTACTTGATGACGCGAATCGCGCCGAGATACTCAGTGGACAGGGATATTCGGCTATCCTGTGCAGACTTTGCCGCCATTTGCTGGCCACCTACGTGACTGACGATCCAGGCCGGCAGAGGGCTCATCAGAAGCATGACGCCGACGCCGATGAGGCTCGGCCATCCCACGATGTTGTACATGCCAATAAGCGCGACTGTAACACCGCATGGGACACCACCAATGATAAAGAGGACGGATCGTCCGTCTTGCACCGCGTTGATATCGGTGGACATGATATTTGCCAGCTGCCCAGAGGAGGACTTGCGTTGCGCCTGGTGCTCTGGCTCGTGAGGATCTTCGGATTCTTGAGACGCCTCTGCCTCATCATCCAGGAAGTCGTCTTCGAGCTCCCGGGATGCCATGGCCCTCTGGTACATTTCCGTAGTCAGCGCCATCTTGACCTTGATAGCGGCGCGCGTGGAAAGAAACACAAAGGCTTGCTGCACCACAGACTCGAGAAGAGCTCCTGTAAACATTACAAACAGCCATAAATAAGGGTGGAACACGGCGTCTTCGGGGTTCGTCAAGTATTCCAGGAGTTGATACAAGCTAAAGGGTGTTGAGAGCTCAGTTATAAAATAGACGCCCGCCAGAAGGGTCGAAAGGATAATCTCTCCCGGTATAAACATGAAGATGGTCATGGCTGTGCTTTTGTACTTTTTGCGCAGCTTGCTTATTTGAGGGTACAAAACCTCGGGTGTGTAGTTCCACGGCAGATCCTGGAAAGCAGCCGTTGTGATGTCGCCTTTCCATCCTTTCCGAATGAGACTGTTTACTCTCCCAAATGTGCAGTAGTAGTCGAGCAAGCTGCATGTGTCTTCCTGGGCCGGCTTGACATCGGAGCCTTGAACAATCGCAGGGCACTCTGGCGGAGGCGCCCATTCTCGCGGAGACGTTGCGGCGACGGCCATGACTGACGCCAAACCAAGCATCCCTGCCGAAACAAATCTGTCTGGCCTGTAGCGGTTGCCAATGACGGTTAGAGGGGATATTTCAGCAATGAGAAGCAGCGACATCTCCATGACAAGTATGATGTTGGCTTGATTCAGCAGCATCTTGCGTGCTTCCTTGCCTAGAGCTGCCCTGAGAATACCTAGCAGCAAGATGTAGAGCAGGGCCAATACATCTGGCCAATGCTCCCCCTGCTGAATAGCTACACTGATCCAGAGGGCTACAGTCGCGGAAAGTAGCACATGGCCAGCAATTTCGAAGTACAGTAAGCCAGGTGGTTTGAAGGCCTTGCGATTCGCAGAGCGGGGAGCTTGAACATGGTGCGCCGCTATCCAAAGCAGGGAGAGGACACACATGGCAAGCTGTATGTATCCGGCTCTTGAGATGAGTTGAGCCCGCTGTAACCAAACGGGGGATCTAGATTCCGTCAGCCAGCGCTGCGCAAGGAGTTGCAGGTATGGGCACGCTGCTCACTTACCTGGGTTGCGACGGGGCAGCGATGATGCGGAACTGGTTTGGTGATCCATGGCTCAAAAGGCCTTCCATGATGGAAGTGAGCGACTTCGTCCAGGTCTCTCTGATTGACTAGAGCTGGAGTGAAAACAGAGTGCTTGGTGAGCCTCGAGGACTTTCGACCAACTTGTGCTTTTTAGAATCGTCAACGCAATCTCGTCTTCTCTTCTGCCTAAAATGAGTAGGGCAAATGCTGTCGTCAACATTAATGCCTGTCTCCTTAGGCTGCCGCCTCGTCATTTTGCTGTCAATATTCGTTGCATCTAGCTTATGCACCTTCCTGATTTGTATATTGCCGACAAAAGAATCCTGACTCAAATTTGGACCCCAAATGGGTCGGTCGTGCTATTTGAGCTACCAACCCTCTATCAGGGAGTCGGACTCGATGCAGTCAGCATTCAGCTTGGCGTTATCACCGGTCGGCCCGTACGGAATCTACGGACCCTCTTGGTTGCAGTATGTACCTGCACTTGGTCTTGGTCTGATCGCCCAGAGTCTGCGGCTGCTTGGAAATAAACATCTTCCACTGTCGAAAGTAGCCATAAATGCAGCAGGTTGTCATGAAGAGACGCCCCTAATCCCAGTGAACTCTGCTTTAGCTACCTTGGTCCCTTTAGCAAGATCCTTTTCCCAGATGAACGGGCGCCTTTGCCCGGTTACCGGATTTTACATTGGTTGTGTCACACGGCCAAGACCTGTACAAAGTTATCAGACTACAAAGGTTACACAACAACAAGGAAGGTATCACGAGAGCCCGGAGTCGGCGAGGACTGCCTTAGGCACTAGCCCTCACTGACTTCTTGTATTTATAGAGACCTCTGGTCCCTGAAAACCTATTTAAAAAACAAGGACCTTTAATACCTTGAAATCAGTTATTAAATTTATACACATAAGTCCCCAAATAAAATGAAATTGCATATCGAACGTGGCACAGAATCGGCACTACAACACCAAATGCTGCAAGGAGAAAAATAAAGTGACTACAATTGGCATTTGGGTTTCCAACCAATCCCGGGCAAACTTGTCGTCTCCGTCACGTAATGGACATGTAGCGCAAATCGTGGACAACACAAGTGCAAGCACACCAGATGCGCAAGGCAACATGTATTTTGAACTGTACTGCATTTCTGTACGCAATCTTTCATGTATCAGCACCGCCAGATACTAAAGAATGTATTATAAAGTCAAATTGCCACCCGGCTCCCTTAGACACTTTCCGGCCTAATCGATGTGTATCTTGACAACACGCCCCCAAGTTGTGTCAGCGCCGTGTATGAAAATTGTGTTGCTCTTGTTAAATGAATGTCTGTACAGATAACCGTCCCCGGGCTCGTAATCGAACCACCCCTTGTTGTTGCCAGAAGAGTACGATATTACGTCGCGCTGGCTCATTTCCATTTCTCCCGCGTCGGCAAAGCATCGAGACAGAGTCGTCGCTCCCGAGCGGATCGTGTAGCTGAGGGTGAAGAAGTCCGTCGCGAACATGCAGCTTGCTACATCCACTTCTTCGATTGCGCCGGCGCCAGGAAGGATGTAGGCAGTCGCTGTCAAAAGCAACAAGATGCTCCGAAACATGTTGCAAAGCAGAGTTTGTCAAAAAGTGGCAATAGGGAGTGGTTATTGAGGGTGATAATTGAACGTGACAAGTAAAAATGATCGTCAAAAAGTGATAGCTAGAAAATAAAGACGATGAAAAACTAATAGGTGACAAGGGTGAGAATCGAACACTTATGATTCAGCACTGCTTTTAAGGGGGAGACGTGAAGACAAATCGCTCTGCTTGATTGTTTGGCTTGGTCTTTGAACTCTCAGTCATGTGCCTTGATCAGCTGCCAGTGTTGACAAAGATAATTTTTGTTCACAGCGATGCTGCAAGACGCATACATATGTAAGGACAGAGACAATCGGGGCACAGCGACACCTTTGTTGTACACCACATCGCCCGTCGCGACCGAAGTTGTAGAAACGGAGAAGAGCTGGGTTGTTCTCCATTACTTGATGGTAAATTTTGGCTGTTGGAAGTCCAAGTCGACAAAAGTATACACAAAACATCAACCTTGCCGACCTTTTTTTTTTTCATAGTGCAGAGCCTACACGCCCATGTGCTAATATGTAACCAACATTGCAGGTAGCTATGGCGACAATAGCATCATGCAGCGGCTTTGTAGGCCTCGGTGTGTGAGTCCAGCAGATGCAACAAAGACGGCACAAACGGACCAAGACTCTTGGCGCACTTTCATCAATGCCTTCTGCTCTCATTCATACCAAGGCCTTTTATTGATGGACTGAAACGCTTACCCGGGCTTGGCTCCAGTCTGAATCACTGCTTGTCTTGGCCGTTTCCATTCATCTGGTGGTACGCCCGTAACTGGTGATGTAGACAAGTCGCAGGCTGGATTGACCGTCCACACAGACCTTCCTAGCTGCAACAGCTAGTGTTGAAAAACTACATATGTAGCCTCTATACACAAGATCATCCCGCTATAGCTACCAATAAATTTGTGCATTCATTGATTGCCATTCCACCGGATCTTCTCTTCCTGCAACTAACCCTGCCGAGCCCGACGAATTTGTCGGCCAGTGACCAAAGCTTCCAGCTCAATTCGGCGTCAAGTCGATCGTTATCTCAACCAACCTTGCTACAACAGTGTCCAGTGTAGCCAAATTTGTCAATAGGTACAGTGCTTCTTTCAGAAGCTTTGGTTAATCGGCTATTGCGGAGCTCCCTCTGAAGTGAAATCCGTTCCCTGCCCCCATCTAATATTGGACTGGGGTTCAACGTAACCTCTTCGACAAAACATCTTGGCTATCCCTCACTATCGAGACCTTTCTCCGGATCCTTGGATTCCGAGTATGGCTGCATCAACCAATCATCAAACGCCAGTTCCTCAGCCGTGTGCCGCTCCTCTGGTAGCCAGCGCAAGGCACGACGGGCAAAACTCAGCATCAGCTGTTTGTCTTCGCCTTCCAAGCGAGTAACCCGCTCTTCGAGAGACGTGGTTGGAATTGGGATGGATCCCAGCCAGTTGCCTGCTAATAATTCAGCCACGGAATGGATACCTAATAGGTTTGGATCCCTTGCTCATGCTTACCAGAGTCGTCAAAATAAGCGGCACACTTCTTACTGCGTTGCAGGAATTCACGTGGTGGTGGGCCCATGAGCGATACCATCTCTGCCAGGTGTTGCTCGTCGTCTACAAGGCCGTCTCTGTTGGCGACGAATAGGCGTCTTCCTTCAAGCAAATCCCAAACCTGGAGCCGGTAAGTAAGTGGCTACCGGGGGATAGGGGTAGAGCTCACCATGACACCCATAGACCAGATATCTACCTTGGAGGACCACTTCATGTCCAAAATCACTTCGGGGGCTCTGTAGACCAGGGGCATGATGTCCCCTTGGTACTCTTCTTGCCCGAACCTCGCGGATCCAAGGTCGGAGAGAACAGGCTCGCCCTGGGTCATGGGTGTCTGCCGCGACAGGTATATCACCCGATCACGGAGCACCTTGCGCGCGACTGGCTGTGCTCGCTCAGCTTCCTCGAGCTCCTCGAATGGTGACAGGTTCTTTACACCACAAAGAATATTATTCGGGGAGATATCTATATATACTCCATGAGTAAAACACAGCGGTGGCCTTGTAATTTGGTAGAGGGTCTTTACCAGTATGAACCACATTGTTTTTGTGCAGGTAATCCAAGGCCACGAGAAGAATCTGCAACGCGTGCTGTAGCATACGGGTTTCGATCCTCCTTTCCGGAAGGAGATTTCGCAGCTCGGTGAATGTCATTCCCAATGGCTGGTATACCAGGAATTGATGAGAGCCCTTGGGTCCGGAGACTTCAAACGAGGTCAAGATTGTTCTGATGAAGGCTTTGCCCGGATGTTGTTGCACAGGTGATGACTTGAGGTAATCCAGCACGGCAATCTCATTCTGGGCTTGCTGCAAGACAATGCTATTCTTGGCTAATGTGCACACTTTCAGCACACGATATTGTTCATGACTATGTCCGTGTTAGCACCACGCATTCGTCGTCCTCATTGCTGCAAAAAAACGCACCAGAGGTCTTTGGCTAACCAAACAGTGGACCCAGTCCCTCGACCAAGTTTGCAAAGGACACGGTATTGCGACTCGAAGACTTGTCCGATACGCGTCGGGTAGTAATCTTCAGCGACATATCCGGGAAGCTCTTCTTCCTCAATGGGCGTTGAGGCGGGCAACAAGACTGGGCTGTCTGGCGATGCAGTGGTCGACACGGGTGTGCTCTTGGACGATAGAAACACTCTTTGATGCAGTTTAAAGAGTCTGGCAGTAGTTCTCAATACGGGTCTGCGCAAGTTTCTGAACCAGGGTGGATTCATGACAGACGCAGTAAGAAAGCCATGAATTGTGAGAAATAACCAGGTCAAGGACGAGAAGGCCACGGCGTTGCTCAAGACGACGAGGGTCCACATGGCGCCAAGTATAATCCAATCATCTATCTTTGCTGTAGCCAACATGCGCTTAAACGCCGTACTCTGTTTAAATAGCCGCCAGGCGCTAGAATTAGCCTGATAGCATATCAAGGTTATATAAATTATATACGGAAGCTATTATAACAACCGCTATTAATAGTACTTGTAGCCTTTCTCGCATCAACTAGTTTCCTAACATGCCGACCTCAATTGTAAAAAGGCTAACGCATGATCGTGTCTGGTGCTTCTTTTTCTATATACCTTCACTTATGCTCCATGTTGCATTTTTTCTAAAGTAAACATACTCAAGTACTTTATGAAGCAGTATCTAGATACCTGGGCAGGTAGTCCGGTCTTGCAGCACTACGTATCCCTCATACAATAACGTGATTTCGAAGCCCCTGAACAGCAGGAGAGCGCGAATATATTGCCAGCACGTATACGAAAGAGCAGCTGAGAAAGCTAGTTGTCTCTGCAGCCATCTCTCTCCCTGGTTTGCCATGAGGTAACTGGTCGCCTTAAAGTCTCAGCCACTTACTAACGTAGTCCCGTGTCCAGATAAGGCTGCTACAACGGCTCAGGACTCAAGGCTCATGACTCTGGGCTGCTGATTGGGAAAGCCTGCAAAGTCGGGATGCAAGAATGCAGACCCGCATGCTAGAATGCAGACCCGCATGCTAGAATCACTGGCTCTGGCAGCCGTACAGATAATTCAACGGATTTGCACTGATTTTTTCACCGCCACTTGAAGTTGTTCAGGTCAAAATGTGCTACTGTGCCTATTTCCGAAATTACAGAGTTATGTTCTCTTCCATCGTCTATTATGGACAAATATTTCGCACATCACTAAAGCTAGTGCAACTTTGTATATATTCTAACCTAAACGGCCCAAACAAACTTCCTGGCTTCCAGCGTCGTCCGGCGGTGCTAAAATACAGCTCCCATTAGAAAATCTGGAATACAGCATCGTTGCTGACTTGAACAGCTGGGATGATTCTATCTTCGCTTGGGTTGAAGGCGTCTGGGGCGGCTTCACCACCAACCACCTAAGTTCCCCAGATGAACACACCACCCAGGGTGGAGATGAGCACACCACGATGGGATGTTTCCACCGTCATCTGAGTTGGTTGGTTAAGTATTAGGGTTAGGGTTAGTTGGCTGAGTATTATCTGGTCTGGTTGGTAGAGCATCATTTGGATAGGTTGGTTCAGCACCACCTGACAAATTCAACTAACCAGTATGACGCGAAATAAAGTCAAATAGTTGACCCACGGCGATATAGACGCCAGGAAACTCGTGGCTTCCACAATCCGCGCCGAAGGAAGTTACACCTTCAAGCTCTCCAGTACTGGCATCAAGCAATGGCCCGCCACTATCTCCAACGCACGAAGTTTTGCGTCGATCTCTTGCGCATACCATACTTTGCTTTAATGGAAAGCCTATATGTCGATATGCTTCTAGGCACTTGGAGAACGAAATGGCAGTGAGTTGGACTTCTCTCATCTTTTTCGGCAATGGTGGGGAGAAATTCGGCCCGGCTTTCATCTGTCCCCTAAAACAAAAAGTAAGAATTGGTTTACTAGAGATGGAGACGGGGGGAAGAGTCGACTACAACATACCAGCCAGCTGCCCTTTTTTTGCCCGGCTTGGGGTAGCTGCCGTTCTTGGCTACTCTAGCGAATTCACCCACTACATCTGGACCGACTGCTGGTGATATTTTGACTATAGCCACATCATTCTCACATGTGGATGGATCAAACTGAGGGTGCGTCATGACACCAGTCACGTTGGAGACCTGGCCTCCTGTTGTGCGATCCTGTAGAGTGTGTTGTCAGGGACAAGAGCTACCTAGCACAAGTCGTACTTGCCACTGAGCAATACAAGTGTAAAGAAGCAAAACGTACATTTGATCCGGCACGAACTTGAATTTGTTTGTGCCCATCTCCGAAACAATGACCGGCTGTGAGAACGGTATCATTATTTAGGAGCGAGCCAGCGCAGAAATAGTCGCCACGTTTCAATATTGCAACGAGAAAAGGAAAGGAACCAGGGGGGGACTCTTTTCCCCCGAAGATTCTGGGAGGGAATTCTCCTTCTAGCGGCAGGGCAGTCGCCGTTTGAGCCACCAGTGTCGCAATTGCGGCTGCAATGGTTGCCTTGAGCAGCATGGCAGAGATGGAGGGCCTTGTCTCTTTTTGGAATATAATGAATGGCTAAGTGAATGTAGGAGCTGCAAGATACTTGACCAAGGGAGTCCAAAAAGATTTATATACAACTTCGCTTCGCTTAAGACGCATGGAAAAATTCCGACTTGTTATCCGGCGTGCAAAGGACGACATTGTGGACATAGTAGTAGGGCTAGCTAGAGCCCTGTTACCGTGCCAAAAATTAGTATTGACGTCATCTGCACCGTACAAGTAATGGTACGGTGCCAGATTTTAGTACAATGCCAATACAGTGCCGGCAAAGTTACATATTAGTGCCAAAAGGGTCAAGTGCTTTACACAAAACAAGCTTCATTATAGCGTGAATGGTGCCACAATACAACAGCTGTCTCTATCATTGACTCGGTGAAATTGGAATAGCAGTGCAGATACTGATTCCGTTAGGGTTGGCATAACGGATTGTAGTACTTGACATATATAAAGCGACATGAGGCTATAATGGACGCGCTTGACACCATGTTAGCTGATACCGTGGCATATGCCAGCTGCACTAACAGCCAAGAATCCTCCATGTGTGAACATCATTGATGGCAACGGCTGCGTACCAGGTTTGGTCCTTTGTGTGCGGCGCAATCCCGGCATCGTGCTGTATCCTCGATTGGCTAGCTGGGCAATTTGATGTCAAGTGCACTCTACCTGTTACCATGACTACGAGTCACTGCACAAAATGAGCAAGTTGAGTCCGGTAGTATTTATATAAAAGCTACTTAGACAACAAGACATTATGACTCGATACGCCGAGCCGGGCCCGCAATTGGCGTAGGTATAAGCTCCGACCTTGCCTTGTATATACTAGAAAAAGCTTATATGTAAAATGTGACGTCGTACGGGGCTTTTGGTCCCTCGTACAAACCGTCAAGGTATAGCCACATGGAGACACCTACTCAAAACGCCTCCCACCGGCAGGGCTGAGACACCAACCATCCAATCCGCCAATCACAGTATAGTCCGTTGCAGTAGACTTTAGCAGGTCATCTCGTTTTTCAGAATAAGAATTACGAAAGATACGAACAAATACGACGGCGCAGTGAAGAGGGGGAGGTTACATATAATATAGCCGGATAGCCCGTGGGCTACCCCAACACACGCAATACGTGCATAATCAAATTTTTATCCAATTCCATCTTCAAATACTCCGCACGCCGTTGGACAGAACAGGTCATTATGAAGGTGATTGGAATTTTATCCGTGGCCACAGCTCTTCTTGGCCTCGCAAGTGCCGCCCCGTACGCCATGCCTGACGATGATGGCGTACGAGTGAATGCGGATTCTCCGGACGGCACTCGTGTTACTCGAGATGGAGAGGCCGGGGCGGAGCCTGACGGTACTCGGGTCACACGACGTGACGGAGGTGACGACGACGGGCCTGATGGCACCCGCGTCACAAAGAGAGGCGGCGAAGAGAAGGCCAACACCATGTAACTCGCCAGGCTTTCATGGAGAGGTTCAACCAGACGACACTCGTGTGGCAATGAAACGGCGTGATGGCAGACAAGAGGTGTGGCAGGTTAAATAGTGAACATGTGTGGCGAGGTCAAACAGATTGCAGTCAATATCGGTTCCATGCGGCCATAGTAGTCAGGCTTAGTAGCCACGTCGAATCATACACTGAATTTCGAAAGCATACAAAAAGAATTTATATTGGCAAAACCTCACAGCAAACAAGGCCACGTGCTTGATCATAATCCCACCAACGCATCGCTACGCTCATCCGTCTCACAACCTCGACTCGTACGCCCAATGCCCCGTCCTCTCGACCCGATCCACGGCCCTTTTCAAATCCTCCATGTACTCGGCGTGCATAGCGCCCGTCACATTCTGCGGCAGCAGCGGCCACGCCAGCCTCATTGTGCGCGCGACAGCCTGGAACTGCAGCCAGCTCAGCGTGGAGGGCACCAGGTCATACTCCCTGGCCAGCCTCCCCGGCAGCAAGTTGACCGTGACGACGCGCGCGAGCGGCAGCAGGGCGCGCATGCGCAGCGGCAGGTCGACGGGATACAGCAGGTCGCGGCACAGCTTGCGCGCCATGTCGGTGACCTCGAGCGTCTCGATGTTGCGGTGCCAGTAGGCCCAGAAGTCGTCGAGCGTGGGCGGCCACATGTCGGGCGGCATGCGCAGCGAGGTGCCGTAGACGGCGGCCTCGCGGTACAGCGTCTCCATCTGGTCGTGCGTGAAGCCGCCGAGGAGGGCGTCCTGCACGGTGACGAGGGCGACGAAGAGCGTGGCCGCCGTCCACTTGTGCAGCTCCGGGTCGTTGGCGTCGTAGCCGTCGCCCTTGACGTGCCGGTGGTACGAGTGGATGACGGAGAAGATGGCCCTCTTGTCGTCGGGCGTCCCGTACACGGCGGCGTTGAGGAAGCGCGCTGTGTTCTGCAGCCGCTGCGGGATGCGCGAGGCGAAGCTCGAGTGTAGATAGCTGCCCTTGGCCAGGCCCGGGTGCGCAAACTGGCAGAGGATGGCGAACTGCCCGCCGAGGAGGTAGATGTCGTCTACCAGGAGCTCCCGGAGCAGCACGGGCTCTTGGATGGTTTCGTGGATGAGCGGGGAGAAGGTCTTGCGCTTCCGCACGGCGGCGGGCGAAGGTTGTTGTTGTTGCTGCTGCGCGGTGGACGACATGGCGAGGCGATCAAGACGGGCGTCTGGTGGACGTGGACGACGACATACAGAGAGGGCATCGCCGCCGTGACCCGAGGGACCGTCGGGGGGTATTTAACGGCACGCAGGCGTTTCGAAACCGAAGCCATGGGGTCGTGATGGATTTGATACATGCATTGCTGTGCATACGGAGCAACGGAGAGACATGGGGATGGAAGCGTCCGCTTGAGACGCCGGGCCCGTGGTCGACCCCGAAATCCGGGGTAGCGCAGCATGGAACGCTTCTAGTGGGAATAAACTGGCGCGAGGTGCCGTCAAGGCTATTTCCGCATGCTGCCCAGGCCTGACTCTATTCCAGTCATCATCCCATCACTGTTGATTGTTTGCGGTTGCCAACGGGAGCAGTCGGCGTGGCGGCTTGTAAACCTACACATGTACCTTTTGTGAGTCTCGTCACGCACCGGGTTGACAGACAAGACGGCGTTTTAACTCTTGAGTCAAACCCATCTCTCACATGAACCCAATCGTGCCTTGTCGCTTCATTCCTCCGCCCCTTCACATGCTTCAACTTCTCCCTCCCCCGCACGCAACCCGCATGCCACGAGGCCACATGCGTCGACAATGGCAGGGAGGAAACAGGAACAAGGTGTGCTCCATCTTCTGTTCCGTCCAATCGCTAAGCCGCTATTGCGCCGCCTGACCAGATCTCAGTTGCAGTTGCATCATCAACAACTCCGTCAACCGCGTCCGCGGCATTGGCTCGTGGGAACGGCGACGCGGAAACGCTAGGCACTGCGGGTTTCGCGATAAGGGCCTTTATTCCATCCATGGCGTGAAATCCGCCCTCGAGGCTTTCTCGTGTGCGATGCCGGTGTTGTGCTCGACCATTGCGGTCTGCCAGCCATGTAAGTGCAAAGGCTAACCTCGATCCGTGTAGCAAATAACTGAAGCCATGGCATCTTTGCACCTGCTGCTTAGGAAAGTCGTCACCGTACAGTGATGGCTGTGTCTGAGATGCCGGCCAAGGTTATCCCATCTAGCGTACCTTGATTTTTTCCAAGTCGTTTGTCTTGTTCTCTGGCAGGCACGGAAATATGCACAGCAGTCACTCCAACAGGAGATGTGCTAACTGCTTTGAAAAAAGAAAGGGAAGAAAGAAGAAGAAAACACATGGCAGGCAGGGGAAATCACTGGCTTCCCTAGCATAGCTGCCCGGAGACGTCGCCAAAGAAAAACAGAGGAAGAATGAAAGAAAGGGGTAGAGACAATACGCCAGAAGCGCCTCACTCATCGAATTTCTACACTACTCGTCTGGACAGTGGCATCACACTGAGCACGGATTCTGCACAGAGTGTGCGTAGGCGATGGCCAGTCTCATCACGCCATGTTTGATTGGAAACAATGAGCCCAACTTGCCATCTTCTTCATGGAGGAGCCGGGAACCCCCGTGCTGGTCAGGTAGTGTTTTTTCCGTCAAAGCCAAGAAGCGGGTGCCTGCATCTCGACTGCAAGGGACCAAATCATTCGGGGCTGGTCCCGGTCCGACGGCATCGGAGCGACGCTCGTTGTGTCTTGTTTATCCAAGTCGAGCTTCTTTTTTTATTCATGGCCCTCTGCCAAGGCATCGGGTTGGAATAAAGCCGCTTAACCAATAGCATGACATCAAATGGTTCAAAGGCCCATTACTTGTCCACCCGACCGTACTGGAATGGGCTGCCGATGCAGCACTTGTTTTGCTCCATGTTGCTATTGCATGAGACAATGCCAGAGGCGAGTAGCCCAAGTCTCGGAAATAGGGTCACGAAAACACTCTGGTTCCCGAAAAGCGCATACAACCACGTCCGATGCCTCCCGAAAGCGTCGCGCGACAGCTCGATCGGGAAGGCGTTTTCGGGTGTTGATAGACTCGAACCAGCCAAGGCGATTCCGAAAGACGCGTGTGTGCGTGATGAGCACGAGCTGATGATGCAAGCAAAAAACACCAAGCAGCACAGGAGAATAGTAGGCCGTCCTGTAACGCGAATTGGTCCCCAACGCAGGTCCTTTGATCAGAAACCCTGCACAAGCCGGTCTCGTGGCAGCCAAGATGAGCCAATACACGCCGCCAACGACGGGAGGCAAGGCCATGGCCATCAAGCTCCCAAACGGGATGCGAATCAACGTTGCCTCAGCCAAGCTCCTGCGGCCCTATCAACTCCCGCCATGGCCCGGATCAGGTCAACAGTTGTCAGGGCATAACGGGCCAGACGACTCATCCTTTCCCGATTGAGAAGGTAGGAAGGCCACGTTGGATGATCCCGTTTGGGATTTTGGGGCTCTTGAGGGTTGCATTGATTGGGGGTCAGCCGAGGGCATCATTTCCCAAAACAAAACAATTCCTCTATTCAATAAATTAATCAATCCATCAAGTTTATTTCTCGTCGTCCGCGGCCCAGACCTCCGGCCCGGTCGTGGCACGGCGCATGACGCACCCCCCGCCGATCGTCCGTCTCGTCGACGTCCCCTCTCCGTCCCTCAACCTTGTCCGCGGTCCGTAGATGCTGGCTGCATAGACACGTCTGCCACAAGACGCTCCGTGTCATCAAGATGGTCAAGCCACTTCCCCAATCCAGCCAGGGGCGTCGGGAAGCTGTCATTTTCGACCCGCCAAATCGGGCAGCTGGACCGCCATGTGGGCTTGACACCCGTTCCCCAGATTCACACCTGCCTGCAACATGCATCTCCCACGTTTTGTCTTGTATGCTCAAGCCTCACCGTCGACATCACCGAGAATAGTCCGGCGCAAGCTCTCTCCATAGGATCGACCGATTCCGTAACAACTCCCAACAAGTGTAACATGACGCCCTGCCCGCCGCACCGGTGGGCGCATCGTCGTCGTCCCCGGTGGCCATGACAAGCTACCATGACATATGCGAGCGCGTTGGCAAGCAACTCTCCCTTTTCCCATCTCATTTCTTGCAGCCCCCACCCATCACTACTACGGCAAGTCACAGCATCACCAAGTCCATCACTTTCCACCAGACAGCTCGAGGAGCGGCCTCGGAAACATGGCCCTATCCATCCACTTACATGGTCCCCCAGCGTCTCGGGGCCGTTCCCCTTTCCCGCTCGCCCCCGTCGTGCCAATCAACCTTGCTATGCGTACATTGACGGCTTGGCTGTGCCTTGATTGTCATGTTTGACCCAGCGGGGAGGCACCAGGCCGGCGGCCGCAATGGTTGAAACCTTAAAAGATCCCACGCATCATCTGCGACGGGGGTGCTTCCCTCCCCCGGGCCGCCAAAGGCGCACGACGACAGCCAAGACGGACCCAACGCCATCACCACATCAAGGAGGGCGAGCCAGCCATGTTTGCTCATTGTTACACCGGTTTGGTATCCTCGACGTAGCACCTCGCCAGTTACGTTGCAAACAAAGTCCGCCTCGCGCCATGTCCAAGCCAAAAAAAAAAAACCAATATATAACCAACTATTTCCTCCCCCCTTCTCTCGAGCCCAGATCCCAAACACCACCAAGCTCTTCACCAGTTTCTCCCACCTCCCAAGGGCAAGCGCTCACAAATCTCCACGTACAGAAAACAAAAAAGGCACCCAAGTCTCAAGAGCCCAAGTCTCAAGATGCAGCTCGGCCTCGTCGTCTTCGCCCTCGCGGGCCTCGCCACCGCCCACATGCAAATGTCGTCGCCGCCGCCCTTCCGGTCCAAGTACAACCCCTACACCACCAGCGTCGACTACGACATGAACAGCCCCCTCCCGGACTCGGGCGCCGCGTACCCGTGCAAGGGCTACCACAAGCTGCTCAACACCAACCAGGGCCGGTCCGTGGCC